AATGGCATGAATGAAACGTCTGGAATGTAGTTTGCTTTCTTTATGGAAACAAGTATTTGTTTCATAAAAACCAAGGGCAAAAGCGTAGTTGCTTTGCTGACGATGACCAAAAGCACAGTGTAGACGCTATGCTCTGTAATTAGGTGGCCATCCACTGAAAAGGAAAAAAGAAAGCATAGTATCATTGTCAACCTTCTTCAGCAACTGTGAAAAAGCCACAGAAGAGGCTGAGCTCTACAATCAAGCTGGGAATAACTATACAGAATTTTTATTTCTAAGAAAAAGTGGTACCAGTCTATATTTACCCAGATTATTGAAATGGCCGCAGACAATGCATACTGCACTGGAGGTTTCAGCAGACCCTCTGTGCATTGACTATTGTCCTTTAGTCATATAATAGTAATACACTGACTGAGCTGTGTTGTACCCAGCATATAGAAGTATCAAGAGATTTCTAGCATCCACTGTCCTTGCTGTTATTCTATGCATACGAACATTTTCACAAAAAGCTTGGAAAACAATTGAAGTCTATTACAAGGTATCAAAATGGCGTTGCGAAAAGTGTGACGTGACGCTTTCCATAAAGCGCTGGTGCTTCAGTAAGTTACATGGGCCAAGAAAGCTTTGGTATTGATTTGACAAGGGCCTGGTGTACTCTCCATACCTCATCGGGGACTGTGCCTTCACTTGTCATAATGTGTGGCGCTATCTTATAAAGCCTGTACATTCAATGACCTTACTCGCTAAATAGAAGGGAAGCACATAATGCCCATTTCCCGTTTTGATGCCGGTGGCAGTTTCGTTACTTTTTCCCAAATGCTTTACATTATAGTGAACATGAATTGTGTCCGTCATGTAGCTTGTTTTCCTTTAAATAGTCAACAATAAGCACACTGCATGTCAAAAAACATTCTTTTTGCATGATAAATGAGCTCCTCAAAACACGACGTAAAAACGAATCCACCTATTCGACGGCAAACGCGGGTCGCCGCTACAATGCTCTTTAGATTTGAAGTCGTCTTTCCAATTAGTGTCAATGTTAACATGCAAATGGTGCATATTTCAAATTGGCAGGATGAAATAAGGTTAACTAACAATCCTCTCAAACAAAAAAAGGGAAAAGTATTTCAGGCACTCTTGCGTTTCCAGATACATTGTGCGACTCTTCTTTTTCTTGCCTCATCACAATGCATAGGGTTTGTTAAATATACAAACTTGCTCATTATTATTTCACTATTTGGAAATCTGAGCCCGCGTATGCACTTCGCCGCGACAAATAAAAAATGAAACACACCAAGGAACATGTTTTAATCCATTCCAACCGTAGCCGTATCTTCTCAAGGACCAGATTCATCTGATGGACTGTCGTTTCGTGAGATCTCAAGTCGCATTTATTATCTCGCCCAAATTTATTGAACAAGTATTCAGTTCCCTCTTGAAACAGAGGCTCATTGTCGCTTTTGGATGTTCTGGCAACCTGAAAATAAAATTGCAAAAACACCTACCCTAAGTGATATCCCCAGTTCACTTCAGATCACCCGAAAATCTGTGATACATCAGTAGTAAAGACAGTAATGCGAAGAGCCAAAATCCAGTCCAGCACACAACTAAAAAAAGAAAAAACAATATATTTAGCAATCTTGCCAAAAAGGGTTACTAAAGATTGTTTATTCAAACCAAAAGCACAATGACGCAATCTTAGAAATCTAGCAACAGCATTCCCCTATCAACACCACGACAGAAACATATCACTCTCCTTTGTCCGAGGCGCCGGTAAAACCATCACCCGTTTGAAGCGAACTCGGGTGGCATGTCATTAGTGGAAAGCTGAGCCGGCTGATAGTAAGAACGCGAGTGGCCCGTAGACTTTCGCTGCAGCCACACACACTCGAACTCCGAAACAGGAGGGATAAAGGCCGAGCTAGGGCCAGTTCTAAACCGCAAATGATGCTGCGCACGCGTCTTCAAAGTGAACTCAGCTACTGGAAAAAAAAGCAAAGAAGTCTCGCTGACTTTTTACACTCCTAATGCGTTGTCCGCAGCCAAGGATGGGGACGGGTGGTTCGTGCCTCCCCTCTTTGAGGGACCGTATGAAATTCCGAATCGTCTTGACAATGCCCACTCAAAGTTCTAAAGATCAAAAGTCGCTTCAGAACACGTGTTTTCTATTTTTTTCGGGGCTTGTGCAGGCAAATGGTGTCTCCAGAAGTGTAGTCGTGCATTTTCTCCAAGACAGTGGACGTACAATGAGCACTGGAGTGGCAAGAAGGCAGCCTTGCGCGCGGCTCGTTCGTCAAAGCGATTGCAAACCGCGGAGACTCTGCAGCAGAAGCATGCACATGGCGTTATTAGTTTAAGCACATACGTATGCTGTGGTTGCTGTATCCACCCCGCACCGCACACATGCAGGGACCAAGAAAGCACGACTGCCATGCAAAACCTGCAGTTGCGAAGAAGGGAGCAGTAAGACACCGTGGTATAATAAGAAAAAATGGCTTTGGGAACTTGCGAAAGGTATATTGGTGGAGTTCCTTTTTCTTGCTTTTTTTTTTCAAAAGCTGTGTGTCACGCTCTCTTCTTTTACTCCTATTGCACGTGGTACATCGGACCAAAAGCCACCCATGCATGCATACGTTCAGTTCGCTTGTGCTCTGCGTCTGCTGTGCAAAGGTGCATCGGTATATGCGTTTCCGAACAGGCCACAGGCATCGCTGATGTGCCAGACAAACACGATCCTCACCGACCAGTGTTGCGGAGTTGCCATTTCGGAATTGGAATGATTCCGGAATCATTCCACATTTTGCAACCCCGAAATGGAATGGGGAACAACACTTGGAAGAATGGAATGGGAATGGAATTGAGCACATTTTGAGTGGAATAGAATGGAAATGAAATTGCATCTTTTCCCAAAAATAGAGCACGTTTTCATCCACACATTCGTAAATCAGAGCCTCGAATTCAGCTACAAAGGAGTATTTTTAAAATGGCTTGGCTGATTACAAGCACGGTACATTTATAAGCCGGCCACAGCGGCTGTCTCCCCGTCCTTCATTTGTTTTTTGTTTTTTTTGCTTCTGTCGCCGCTTGCGACTGAGACCGAAAAAGCGCTTTTCTTGTTTGCGATGCGTATTGACGCTGGCGCAGTGCTCCTGTTGATTGCAAGCTTTCATGTGCCAGCTTGCGCGCCGTCTCTCCCTCAACCCCCCCCCCCCCCCGCACACACACACACACCCTTTCGCAGTGCTGTTGTTCCTGCCTAGACACACGTGGTGCCATCGTTGCATCTATACGCGAGAGCACCGCCGACACGGAAGAAGTTTTTAATGTCGCCGGTCTGCATTTGAAATCACACAACGCGACGAGGTGGAACTAGCAGCTTCGAATGATGAGAAAACTTCTCTTTCCAGTCACCCAGGCCTGACAGAAACCCTGCACGCGTGCATGAAAGTTAAACTGTCTAATATGAACTCAGGCTGGCGACAGACTTGATTGAGCTTCTCTCCCCTGTCGAGGAAGCCATAGAGTTGCTGCAGAAAAGGCACGAGACAGCCGGACTTTTACTTCCCGCGTTGCAAAATATCTAAGTTGGCCTCGCGGGAACCTTAAACAAAGGCACTCTTCTTTGCAAAGAGGCAGCTAAAGGCCTACAACATAGTCTGGAAAAGCGGTTCGCAAGCACGTGGACTGACTCTGTCTTTTTTTTATGGGAGCCCTCCTAGACTCACTGTTTAGATGTTCTTGGTGTTCATCTGCAACAGCCCAGCAGATGCGTTCTGCTGTGCTGGGCAGGGAACCTCTTTTGTTAGGGCAGGACAGCGCCAGCACCGTTGCGAATGCATACCCTGAAGCAGAGTCAAGCAGATTGATGTTTAAAAATATCAGACAAAGTGATAGTGCCCACCAAGACAATATGCCTGGATCCATTTCAGGGGAAATTTCGCTTTAACCCATTAATTCCCAGTATGAGAAACATTTTTCCAAACTTCAAAATATTTCTTGTCCATGTCCTTAGAGTCACTAGGAGTGCAAGTTTTCAATAAAAAACATGAAGATATAGCCTGCGAATTAATAACGGGATGTTGCATATGTGCAACAATGGGCAGTAGTGTATAAAATGAAGGCCAATCCAAGTGAAAGAAACTTTTTATTGCTACCAATAATTTTGGCGAATTTTCAAATTGAAGAAAGCACAATACAAGCATAGCTGTTTGGCGCCTATTGGTGAAAACTAACAAAACAGTTACGGTCTTTGTTGAAACACATCTCCTTACACTTGGCACACGAAACATAGGTGTACCCTCATGGGCATGCCTTGCAGCGGTTCAGTTTTGCATTCCATGTGGGCCAGTGCTCGTTGCTGTCTCTTCTGACATCCCGGGGGACATTTAGGCACACTTTCTTGAATGGTGTGACATTCTGAATCGAAGGGCGCCCTGGTGGTCGTTTGTTGAGCAAGATCAGACTCGTTGCGAGCTCAGAGAGGAATTCTCTCAAGGGTGTAGGCGGCAGTTTGTGCTGCTGGAGAATTCTCTTGTGCATGAACCATGCATTAACAGCTGCTATTTTGAGCGTGGGCCAAAACAATTACATATACCAGCATTTAGACCTGATAGAAAAGCGATAGGAGAAGCACATTTTGTCTAGAAGATTCACGCCGCCCATTGATCTGTTGTAGGAAGAAATGATCGCTGGACAATCGACAAAAATATGCTTTTTCTCCTTGCTGTCCCACCTTTTGGCTGATGTAAGCGGGTCAGCACCAATGCAGTTCGAAAGAAGAGTAACAGTGCGGTTGTCATGCCACTTCACTGCCACCATTGTCTTTTGGTCACATGAAGTGACTGAAGTATCACAGGTGTCCCGACCTCGCTTTTTCGATTTCTCATCCATCAACTTGCTGCAGCTGAGTCTGTTTTCACGAACCGTACCAATATAGGAAATTCCCATTCTTGAAAGCTCCTCTACAAGCTGAGGGCCTGTGAAGAAGTTATCAGCGACAACTAGGTTGTTGTCTCGCTTCGGTAGGCTGGAACACAGTTGGAGCACGACCCCAGCTTCCAACCCAAGCTGGTAGCCACCCTGGCTGCCATGAAAACCTTTGTTGCAGCGCTGGTAGACATCGAAATCATAACACAGACCTGATTCCCCAGAACGTGCCCAAAGTTTTAGACCCCATTTACTCTTTGGTTTATTAGGCATGTACTGACGAATGTAACACCGCCCACAGAAAGGGATCAAGATTTCGTCCACTGCAGATTTTTTTTCTTGGGGCAAGACAACCATGTTGCTGCTCAAGGAACTGAGCCATGGGCGCACTTTCCAGCATTCGTCTTCTTTTACTTTGTCATTGGCCGCTTCATTATAGAAAAAATGCAGGTGGCTTGTGATCTTTTCAAATCTGTTACGGGACATTACCTGGGCTACTAATTCATATGTACTTCCATTTTCCCAATAAGCACGAACCCTGTGCATGTTTACGAGTCCCATCCTGAAAAACATGCCCAGAACAGATGTAAGTTCTTTCACGGTGAGGTTTAGAGTGGCTCCATGTTTTTGAAAGTAGTACTTATTGCTTTCATCGACGACAGCCTTTAGCATGGATCGAGAAACAAACATGTCAAAGTATTCCACTGCACTCAGCGGCTCTGCAGGTGGCAGCGGAGAGTTGTTCTCGAAACTACCTGCCTCGATATCAAAATCCTTCTTCACCCATGTGTACCGCCTTTTCATGTTCTGCAGTATCCGATCTACCGGAGGCGCATCTGTCGAGGTAGCAACCTCTTCCTCGGCTTCTTTTACCTCAGTTTGGATGGCATCTCCTTCATCACTGCTGTCTCCAGACACTTTTTTGCCACTTTTTTCATCAGCAGAAAAATCGCTCTCATTAGGGTTGATAACATCCAGCAGGTTTGCATGAACAAAACGCTTCGGCCTCTCTTTTGGAACAGAATAGAATGTTGAGGTTGAAATTGCAGTATGTCCCTGAAAAATCGTTAAAACAGCAAAATTAGCAAACAGACATCCGTTCACACACTCCACATGAATGCGTGTCACGATATGTAAGACGCGTTTCAAGCAGAAAAGCAATGTTGCATATCTGCAACAATGAAAATTGTGGCATTTAGTGCCCACTGTTGCATATGTGCAACACACCACGTGCAAAAAATATTTTCTCGAACAGAGCAAGCAAAAAACTAACTGTTGGGTTCTAGATTACTGTCAAGAGTGTTTCGAACACACATTCAGTGAAAAAAGCAACGCAGCTTAACTTGAGGGCTCATAAAAAAATATTTACAGTACCTTGATTGCAGAGCTCGACGACGACGTGGATGCTGCCATTTTGCAAACTGCAGATACGACGAATGTGGCCCCCAAGCGGCTTAAACTGGTACTGGGTGGAACGAAGAACCCTCGAAATAGCATAGTATGGAGAACTTTTACCAGTGCATTAGGATCCTTGCAATCGGCAGGGCACAGAACTGGGTGTTGCAGATATGCAACAAGGGGCACTAATGGGTTAACTTTCAGAGGGAACTTGAGCAGACAGGGTAAAGCCACTGAGCTATTGGAAGGCGAACGAAAGCAGCTTTCCCCTGCTTTTCCGCCTCGCCAGGGCAGTTTTCACGGTGAATGCGACATAAGCTGACGTGGAACACGTTTTTTTTACGGCATCCTTGATCATGACAGCGAAGCCAAACCGGCTGTCAAGCACCTCTTTCGAGCAGCTCATGTGAAGCGCAACTCGCAGCTAAAGGTATACGATGATGATGATGATGACCTCCTATGGATGGCGCTCACCCACAGTGGGGGATGGGCCAAGAACCGGGCGGCAGGATACTTAAATGAAACTAAAATGAAAATGAAGCCAATCTGAAAAAGTAGTTCAAAAATAATACTACCAAAAAGCAAAAATATTTGCTGAGCAAGCGGTCAAACCATCTCTTGTTTTTGATAGACATAACTACGAATTATAAACTAAAAATCTGAAATGGTTGGGGTTCACTAGCACGGTAATCTTTTAGTTGAAATTGTTAATCGCATTTTTTTCTATTTCTTTTAGGACTTACCATAGCACCTTTCATTCTCATTTCTGGTTTTTAAAAAATAAATGGTGAAACGCCGAGTGAGCTAATAAAATTTGCTTGTAAAATTTTGATGAATGAAACCAAAATAAAGCTTGTTTTTGCATCTTGCACTGCTTGCTACTTTTATTGCAGCATTTAAAAAAACACGGGGACATCTAAGCACTTTTTACGATGTAGTGGTTATTAAAGAACTAGTGACGAATGGCCGGACGTGTTGTTCTTGTAAAAACATTTTTTGAGCCGATGAAAATGAATAAGAAATACATTGTCACATTAAGTTGAGGGTGGCCTGTTTTAAGTTCAGCAAGCTGCGAGCACCAGCTACTGCTCTTAGGCAGGCTTGATGTCGGGAAAGGAATCGTGTTAATGACTAACGAAGCATTTTACAACATCACAGGAACAACCAGGCGTCACACAATGGGAATTGCATAACGAGTGATTCGTCCAGTGCTCCAACCCATCAAAAACATGTTCTTGATCACCTATTAACTGTGGTGCATACCCAGGTCGAGCATAATTCTTCATCGGCATCAGCCACTGCATAAAAACATTGCACAAAATTCCTAGCAATTGTGCAGCTGATACCATGCTTCTCGAAAGAATGACGGAGGATAGCATAGCAAGTGTGTAGCCGATACCACGCTTCTCCGAAGATTGACGGAGGATAGCATAGTGAATGCTGGCCTACTACAGAAAAATTATGAATATTTATGGCGTAGTGGGTACCCAGCAAGTGGCCACATTTACCCAAAGAGTGTTTAGAGAATGCTCTGAAAGACCGCTCTCCCAGCTTTCGCTGTGACTGTGCTGCGAGTTCCACACAGTCCTGGCGTTTTTTTTTTTCTAGGCATTTCAAGTAAATGTTCATAACAAAAAGAAAGAACTTACTTAAAAGCAGAGAGTTGAATAACTGTTTTTACCATCCATATCAGACCGTATAGTCTTTTTTTTAATTAAATGTATATAAGGAAAGGTTGGTGCCAAAGCGTGGCGCCGGCTACTCCTCTTCTCTTGCATAAAAGTCGACATCGCATATTTTGTGGGAAACACAAGGCCATACGTATGATTGATTGATATGTGGGGTTTAACGTCCCAAAACCACCATATGATTATGAGAGACGCCGTAGTGGAGAGCTCCGAAAATTTCGACCACCTGGGGTGGTCGAAATTGCACCCAAATCTGAGCACACGTGCACCCAAATCTGAGCACACGGGCCTATAACATCTCCGCCTCCATCAGAAATGCAGCCGCCCCAGCCGGGATTCCAACCCGCGACCTGTGGGTCAGCATCCGAGTACCTTAGCCTACAGACCACCACGGCGGAGCAAGGCTATACGTATGTACAGACGGGTCCACTGTTAAAGGGAATACCTGCATGAGCAACATGTTTAGATTTTGCTATCTTTCGGAATCATAGTGGCTTAGATATGCATAAGGCTACTGGTGGTTAAAAGTTCCGACTCCTCTTGACAGACTATTGACTTGCATGAATATTGTTTTTTAATCCATTTGCTTTTAGAGGGCCAGGAATATCGTTGGTGTGCATTCGAGTGTTCCCTTTAACAGTGGACCATACTGTACATAGCACAACGCTTACACAATGAGTCCACGTTTTTCAATACTGAATGTCCACACCACACAGACATGTGTCCACACTACATAGAAATGTGTACAGGCTATACAGAGTTTGCAAAAACACAAGTAATCACACCAATTTAAGTGTTCACACAAAACATGAAAGTTCAATAACACGTCTAAGGTGATCTTGTCGCTTAAATACGGAACTGTTTTCAGAAAGTTTTTCCAAAAAAATCATAGTGAAACACGAAAACACTGTTTTGAAACATACCAGTTAACACGGACGAATTCCTTTTTTGTTGTTTAGTACTTTTGAGCTATTTTTTATTCCTCCAGAAAGTGAACGACTGCGCGCGCTGCAGTGGCTCGTAGCTTTCCTTTTTGTCATGGACCCAGGATTTTTGCAATTGATGGAGGGCGCTTATCCAAAGTATTGAGTTTTTGTAAAAGGTTCTTTCGAGGTACGTCATGATTTTTACAATGAAGAAGAATGTGCTCCACATCTTCTTGAGCTTCTCCACATGAGGACTGCCAACTTTCCTTATTCTATACAAGAAGGCCTTCGTATAGGATGTACCAAGTCCAAGCCTATGGATGACTGTTTCTGCCGATCGGCTAACCTTTAACGGAATATTAAATTTTACACCAGGATGAATGTTATACAACTGAGAGTTTTGTGCACCATTTTTGAACCAGGTTTCCATAGACAGTTGACAGCTCAGCTTATTTAATAAATATCGTGCCACAAGATCCACACGAGCCATACTAGGTCTGGATCTCAAGAAAGCATTTGACAATGTAGCTTATGAAACAATTCTCAGCTGCATATCGAGCTTAAACATGGGTGAGCGAGCCTATAATTACGTCAAAAAACTTCTTGACCAACAGGGAAAAAAAAGGCTCAGCTTAGGAGCTAAGCCTTACATCTGATCTCCAAGAATTGGGCGGCAGAGCCACTCTACAGGGCTCCATAATATCGCCAATGCTCTTTTTTCTAATCATGATTGGACTACCAAAAGAGTTAAATAAAATCCCGGGAATATATCACTCTATCTACGCGGATGGCATCGCAATATGGGTCAGTGACGGCAGCGACGGTTACATAGAACAGAGACTCCAAGAAGCAATAGGAACATTTGAGTGATACTTAGAAGGCACAGGACTCACATGCTCCCCGGAGAAATCAGAACTTCTTCTCTACAGGCCAGCAATCAGAGGCAGACCACCCAAGTCAGAGGAAAACAAGCGACAATATGAGGAAATTAGGATTCATACACAGGAGAGCACAGCTATACCGACAGTTACAAAAATGCGGGTACTGGGATTAGTCATCGAGACTAACGGTGCCAACGGTGAGACTATACACAGACTAAATGCCAGTCACGAATGCGATGAGACTGATTCGCAGGGTCACGAATAAACACCGTGGTATGAAAGAAGCCCACGTAATACGTCTAATCCAGGCCTTCGTCATAAAGTCACATAACGCATGTAGCAGCATACCACGACTGGCAAAAAGCTGAAACTAACAAAATAATTAAATGTACTCATTCAGAAGGTCTAAAAAAACAACGTCTACAAACAAGCGATAGAAATACTTGAGTATGCTAGCACAGAACGTTTTCATCAGCTAGAACTACAGAATACGCTTGAAGAGATTATAGAAGCTCAGTGCATATCCCAGCTTGAAAAGCTCACTAAACCTAAAATGGGAAGAAATATAATGAGTAGAAGAGGAATCATGTATTGTGCACAACATGGTGTCAAACATGACATCCCCAATACAATCAGAGCTAAGATCGTCTCTAACCCGATACCGAAAAACATGAACCACATTATCAACACGGACCGAAGAAAGCACCGAGTAAAAGCACTGCTCAAAGCACACGGCATGAACAGTAAATCTCTTTTTGTAGATGCTAGCCCATACCCTGAACGAAAAGCTCACACTGCTGTCATGATTGACACGTCCGGCATCTGTATTAATGAGTGCTCTGTCATAACAAACAATATAGAGGAGGCTTAGAAGGTAGCCATAGCGATGGCTATCATCTCCTACAAACACTCATTCATACTGAGCAATTCACAAGTAGCAATCAGAAATTTTATGCAAAAACGGATTTCACAGCAAGCCCTCAGAATCCTCGTTAATAACCAAGAACTACACGAAGTAGATGAACCCAAATACCTCGTATGGTTCCCGGCGCACACAGAGACTGATTCATCCAATCCGAACGAGCTGGTTGTCGCAAGAATTAACTCGCCGCGCAACTCGACCACACTGCTCGACCACACTTCATATTGTTGCCCAAGCTGATTCACTGATAACTACCCATCGAAGTGGACCTGGCTGTAAACATATGAAGCGTAAAGCACAGAGTATTGCATAGAGTTCTGCCGTTGTGAATGTTGTGGAATAGTTGAGCTTAAAAGCTTTTCTCGCTTAGTATGCAGGTACAAAGAATGCCAATGTAGAGCTTTGATTCAGACATGATCCGTCGATGTACACGTTGTTGCGATGCGCACCTCCGACAACGGTGGTCACCCCTGGCGCCGCCGGCGTACCACACAAAGACCGATTTAGAAGCTCCACAGAATACATGCAACACTACAGAGAAGCAAGGCGGGTGCCTTCCCGCACTTCACCCGAGTCTAAACAGGCAAGAAGCATCAGAATACCGACAGCTACAGACGAACTGCTACCCGAA